GACTTAGTTTTCAAATTGCGAGTCCCGTGCTAATTCCATAAGTTTCCACAACTTACACATTTCCCTCCCGAGGTGTTTAAGGTGTTCCCCCAGCTCTTCTTGTGACTGTTACACGATTTTGGGCTCCGATGGCCTATTTTCAAGCTTAAGTTTTCGAAAAGTGCATTTTTTTACGTAATTTTCAAACCGGGAGTCCCGTGCTAGTTCCGTAAGTTTCTTCAACTTAAATTGGTCTCTATCGAGATGTTTGAGGTGTTCCCCGAGACTTCTCGTGACTGTTACACGATTTTGGCCCCCCGACGGCCTATTTTCAAGCTTAAGTGTGAAGAAAGTGTCTTTTTCGACTTAATTTTCAAACCGGAAGTCCCGTGCTAGTTCCGTAAGATTCCATAACTTACATTGGTCCCTTCTGAGGTGTTTGATGTGTTTCCCGGGCCTTCTCGTGACTGTTACACGATTTTGGCTCCCGATGGCCGATTTTCAAGCTTATGTGTGAGAAAAGTGCCTTTTTGAACTTTATTTTCAAACCGAGAGTTCCGTGCTAGTTCTTAAGTTTTTATAAATTACGTTGGTCCCTCCCGAGTTGTTCGAGGTGTTCCCCAGGCCTTCTTGTGACTGTTACACGATTTTGGCCATCGATGGCCTATTTTCAGTTCGAAAAGTGCATTTTTTGACTTAGTTTTCAAACCGTGAGTCCCGTGATAGTTCCGTAAGTTTCCACAACTTGAATTGGTCCCTCCCGAAATGTTTGAGGTGTTCCCCGAGCCTTCCCATGACTGTTACACGATTTTGGCCCCCTAACGGCCTATTTTCAAGCTTAAGTATGATAAAAGTGCCTTTTTCGACTAAGTTTTCAAACCGGAAGCCTCGTGCAAGTTTCGTAAGTTTCCACAACTTACATTGGACCCTCTAGAGGTGTTTGATGTGGTCCCCGCGCCTTCTCGTGACTGTAAACGATTTTGGCCCGCGATGGCCTATTTTCAAGATTAAGTGTGAGAAAAAAGTACCTTTTTGGACTTAGTTTTCAAACCGGGAGTCTCGTGCTAGTTCTGTGTTTCCGAAACTTACATTAGTCCCTCCCGAGGTGTTTGAGGTGTTTCCCGGGCCATCCCATGACTGTTACACGATTTTGGCACCCGATGGCCTATTTTCAAGCTTAAGTCTGAAAAAAGTGCATTTTTTGACTTAGTTTTCAAACTGGGAGTCCCGTGCTACTTCCGTAAGTTTCCACAATTTACATTGGTCTCTCCCGAGGTGTTTGAGACATTCCCCGGGCCTTCTCATAACTTTTACACAATTTTGTCTCCCAATGGCCTATTTTCAAGCTTAAATGCGAAAAAAGTGCTTTTTCGACTTAGTTTTCATAGCAGAATTCCCGTGCTAGTTCCATAAGTTTCCATAACTTACGTTGGTCCCTCTCGAGGTGTTGGAGATGTTCCCCAGGCCTTCTCGTAACTGTTACACGATTTTGGCCCCCGATGACATATTTTTAAGCTTAAGTGTTTGAAAAGTGCATTTTTTGACTTAGTTTTCAAACCGAGAGTCCCGTGCAACTTCCGTAAGTTTCCACAACTTACATTTTTCCTTCCTGAAGTGTTTGATGTTTTCCTCGGGCCTTCTCGTGACTGTTACACGATTTTGGCCCCCGATGGCCTATTTTCAACCTTAAGTGTGAAAAAAGTGCCTTTTTCGACTTTGTATTCAAACCGGAAGTCCCGTGCTAGTTCCGTAAGTTTTGAAAACTTACATTGGTCCCTACCGAGGTGTTGGAAGTGTTCTTCGGGCATTCTCGTAAATGTTACATGATTTTGGCCCGCGATGTCCTATTTTTAAGTTTAAGTGTTCAAAAAGTGCATTTTTCGACTTAGTTTTAAAACCAGAAGTCCCGCGATAGTTCCGTACGTTTCCACAACTTACATTGGTCACCCCCGAGGTGTTTTCCCGGCCTTCTCGTGACTGTTAGACATTTTTGGCCCCCGATGGCCTATTTTCAAGCTTAAGTGTGAATAAAGTGTCTTTTTCGACTTAGTTTTCAAACCAGAAGTCCCATGCTAGTTCCGTACGTTTCCAAAACTTACGTTGGTCCCTCCGGAGGTGTAAGAGGTGTTCCCCAGATCTTCTCGAAATTGTTACACAATCTTGGCCCCCGAAGGGCTATATTTCCAAGCATAAGTGTTAGAAAAGTACATTTTTTGACATAGTTTTCAAACCGGGAGTCCCGTGCTAGTTTCGTAAGTTTCCACAACTTACATTGGTACCTCCCGAGGTGTTTGAGGTGTTCTCCAGTCCTTCTCGTTACTGTTACATGATTCTGGCCTCGGATGGCTTATTTTCAAGTTTAAGTGTGAAAAAAGTGCATTTTTCGACTTAGTTTTCAAACCGGAAGTCCCGTACTAGTTCCGTAATTTTCCACAACTTACATTGGTCCATACAGAGGTGTTTGATGTGTTCCCTGGAAGTTCTCGTGACTGTTACACGATTTTGGCCCCCGATGGCCTGTTTTCAAGCTTAAGTGTAAAAAAGTGCCTTTTTGGACTTAGTTTTCAAACCGGGAGTCCCATGCTAGTTCCGTAAGTTTTCAAAACTTACATTGGTCCCCTCCGAGGGATTTGAGGTGTTCCCCAGGCCTTCTCATGACTGTTACACAATTTTGGCCCCCAATGGCCTATTTTCAAGCTTAAGTGTTAAAAAAGTGCATTTTTTGACTTAGTTTTCAAACTGGAAGTCCCGTGCTATTTCTGTAAGTTTCCACAACATACATTGGACCCTCCCGAGGTTTTTGAGTCGTTCCCCCAGCCTTCTCGTGACTATTTGACATTTTTGGCGCCCCGATGGCCTATTTTCAAGCTTAATGGTGAATGAAGTGCCTTTTTCGACTTAACTTTCAAACCGGAAGTCCCGTCCCAGTTCCGTATGTTTCCACAACTTACGTTAGTCTCTCCCGAAATGTTGGAGGTGTTCCCCGGGCCTTCTCGAGACTGTAACACGATTTTTGCCCCCAATGGCCTATTTTCAAGCTTAAGTGTTAAAAAGGTGCATTTTTTTGACATAATTTTCAAATCGGGAGTCCCTTGCTAGTTCCGTAAGTGTACATAACTTACATTGGTCCCTCCCAAGGTGTTAGAGGTGTTCCCCGGGCCTTCTCGTGACTGTTATACGACTTTGGCCTCCGATAGCCTATTTTCAATTTTATGTATTCAAAAAGTACATTTTTTGACTTAGTTTTCAAATCGCGAGTCCCGTGGTAGTTCCGTAAGTTTCCACAACTTGAATTGGTCCTTCCCGAGATGTTTGAGGTGTTCCCCAGGCTTTCTCGTGATTGTTACATGATTTTGGCCCCCAACGGCCTATTTTCAAGCTTTAGTGTGACAAAAGTGCCCTTTTCGACTAAGTTTTCAAACCGAAAGTCCTGTGCAAGTTCCATAAGTTTCCACAACTTATATTAGACCTGCCGGAGGTGTTTGATGTTTTTCCCGAGACTTCTCGTGACTATTACACAATTTTGGCCCCCGATGGCCTATTTTCAAGATTAAGTACAAGAAAAGTACCTTTTTGGACTTAGTTTTCAAACCGGGAGTCCCGTATAAACAACACAAAATACCTCATCTTGTTTTTGTGGCATTTGCGGCAATTCCAAACCGATGTCGTTTGGTAATTTTGGAGCATCAACACCTCAAATTCAAATTTCTTAAGGAACTAGTTTGCCTAAATTGAAATCCGGCTCTAACTCCCAAACCGGGAACCTGATTCGAGCCCCGTCTTCTCCTACAAGTCTCTCATGCCTAGGCGGTCGTGTGTGCCAAGTTTCGTGCTAATCCGACCTCGTTTGGTGATTTTGGGGCGTCAACACCTCGAATTCAAGTTTTTTAAGGAACTAGTTTGCCTAGAGTGAAATCTAGCTCTGACTCCCAAACTGGGAACCTGAATGTATTTGATTTACGTCTCACATGATTAATAGAACACATAAAATAAAGCAGGAAATAAACATCAGGACGACAGGAGATAATCGCATACACGCATTCTCAGAGAGGTACTAAATTTACAAAATTTACAATGTCTCCTTTTTTGTCAAGAGTCAACATATCGGCTTACGTGAAAGAGTATATATATTGTAAAGGAGACAAAAACTCATGCAGACACCTTAATTCTTGATATTTACTTGCATGAGTATGTGTGCACATACATATACATACAGATACACATAAAGTAGCATGGCCTTCATGAGAATTTCTTCGAACACGTGATTGGCAAAATAATATGATGTTTTTTGTTTTTTCATATTACAAGATGGAGATGAGAAAGATGAAAGAGAGTAGAAGAATAAGATAAGACAGGAGACGAGAAGAACACTGAGATAAAATAGAAGAAGGATATAATGAAGAGAGAAAAGATAGCAAGAAAGTCAAAGACAATGAATAAAACAGAATATAAATATATATTTAAAGTGGAGATATAAGAGAAGAGGGGAAAATGAAGAGTGAAGAAGAGAGAGGGAGGTAAAGACGAGAGAGAGGAGAACCACCACCTGAGAAGAGAGAGAGATTAAGGATGAAAAAGCAACAGCAACACAGAGAGGGAGAGAGATCCATCAATCAAATCTAATTTTATTTATGCAAGTGATGCCAAATTCGTTTTACAACAATAGAGCCTATTTATAGGTTGTGTAGTCTGTAGATAATCATGAAAATGTGTGGAAACTTTTACAAACCAATCCTAATTCCTACCCAACATAGATACCTAAAAAGACTCAAGTCTTATCACTAAAGCCATTAAAAGTCCTAAAAGAAAGAAAATATAAAAATATTAAATCAAAGACAAAGTACTTAACACTAGTAATCAATTTATCATCTTCTCGTGGGTCTCACATCGACTAGATTACGTTATTCCCCTCTTGTTGGAGGAAAATTGACCTCAAGTTCTGCAAATTGACAGTCCTAAAACTAGTAAATTTTGATCTCCATCAGTATTGTTCAGTAAACATGAGCATAACATCTCAAAAAATGTAAATTTACTTTTCAATTAGTGGATAAAGAGTAGCCAGAACGGATACAGAGTTGTGACAGTAAAATTCTAAGAATCATGTTTACCTGAATTAGTCCTGCTGCCTCTTCATCTGTCATGTAAAGTGGCCCAGGTACATGGAGTTTAATAATTTCTAGTTTTCTACCTTTAGCGTCGGTAACATGAGAGAGAACAGAAAAGGCTTCCACAGATCGCTCATACTGAGGATCTGATTCATCATTAGTCCAGGACAACAAAACCGCACCAGGCTTCACAAAACAGCACAAGTTGTCGATATGACCATTAGTATCATCATCACCTGCAAAACACCATGTTAAAGGCCTTGGTTCACTAAAAATATACTGTTTAAACTTTGGTCTTTTTTATTTTTTCCTCTTAAGTAATCAATAGGAAAAGCTTCAACGAGGCAGCAAAAAGCACAAACATGTTGGAGAAAGTAACTCTAGCAACTTCTATATACAAACTTTTATTAAAAACAACGCCCAATTAGTACACATTAATGTCAAAATCAAGATTATTGATCCCATATCCTCATAGGAAAATAGATAAGATGATGAGGATTCAGAAGGCACAGTACGAAGATAAATATGTAGTCGCAATAGATAGGGAAACTTCATTTCCTTGCATAAAGTTTTTACTCTCAAAGCATGCTATCCTGCATAGACCAAGGGTCAAATAATGGGTACCAGAATTACATCTTTCTGTTTCATCTATTTCTGAACTGCAACTAGGAAACATATATTAGCAGGATTCATAAAGTATCGGTATTATGGTCCATCCTAAATATGTAGTCACAACCGTCTTACCAACTCTATTCCTTCGCCTCTCACTGTTGTCCACAACCCCTAACTAATTTCAAAACTTTCAAAACCAAAATCACAAAGGAGTTAAGTCATTCTCCCACTAAAGCAGTGCTAGATTTTGTTGTATTTGTTCTAAGGATTTTTAGAATGGAGGAGTTTTCCAGCAAGCCCAAAATCTCTCGAGACTGCAGTGTCCATATAGCAATTCCTCTCGTTCCTTACTGCATTTCCTTTGCAAAATATATAAATAACCATCATTTTTTTGTCAAGATTTTTCCTTCTCAACACAAAGCAGAAATCTTATATACAAGAAATGCACAAAATACAGAAAAAAAAAATTATATATTAAAACATATTTAAAGGCAAAATTATGTACATTATACCTTCGGAAATTTGAAGACAGCTAATAGATAAACAAAAGTCAACGCTACAAGAATGCTTAAGGTATTGACATATTGATAATACATACCTCAAAGATATTAACTTGCTAAATGGCAAGATATGAACAACAGGTATCATATATCGCAAGATACAAGGGAAACGAAAATATCAGGTTTGTCTATATTTAACTTCAGAATTTTGTATCCCTTCTAAGTTCTAGGTATCAACATCAAAACACACAACTTTTCATACCATATAACATAAGCAGCAGCTTGGGCTTGAAATTTCCAATAAAATAAAGCCCTATGATTTATATTTTTCTCAATATGCAAAAAATCAAGCACTTAGCATGAGCCCATTGCTCGAAAGGACTAGGTTGCAATTCAAGTTACTGATCATCACAACACCTACCCAAAGAATGCAAAAATTGCAGAGTTAAACTCTTATTTGAAGTTCAAATCCTAGAACTACAGTTTCAGCAGAAACTCTCTATACAACATTAATTTCATGTTCGTATGCATAATTGCACACCAACGCATCATTTTTAAGAATGAGAATGCTTCATCATCATCCTGATGAGAAAAATAGCCACATAGACCAACCAAATTAAAGAAATATCTAGATTGCCAGGTAGACCAAAAAATATGGATGAAATATACAAGAACGGCATCTCAAATTTCAGTGCAAAATATTTATACATGTGTGCTTAATATTCAAGGTGAATGGGTACCAAATAATCCATGAGGCAACCAAATAATCTTCTTGACTCCAAGATATGCTTTAAGTTCATCCTCAACTAGCTCTTTAGTCAAATGAGGGTTCCTGTTTTTATTCAAGAGGCACTCCTCGGTAGTAAGACAAGTCCTTGAAGGAAGGAAACAATTTATGAACAAATATGAAATATGCAATATTCGAAACCATAAGAGTATAGCTAGAAATCTAGTTTTGAAATGTGTTTTGTGTAAACAAACTATACAGTGATGCATTAGTTGATGAGACAAATAGAATATGACCTAAAGAATCATTACAGAAAGAAGAACAATAAGCAGAGGATTGATGAAGGTTCATTATTGGAAGAGAAGAAGGAAAGGAACTCCTATGGCCCCTTTAATAATAAAAATAGTGAGCTATCATCAAGCATCACCCTAATAGATTTTATATTCCTTGTGTTATTAGATTATAATATATTACTATTCTAGAGATTTCGGTTTGGAGATTGGGAACATGTGCTTTGAAATATGTCACACTTCATTCCAAAACATAAAATTTAATGATCTAAAGTGATCCATAAAATGTATTTATTCCTAAACTTTTTTTTTAAAAAAAAATAAAATGTATTTTTTCACATAAATATAATGAGAAAAATTGTAATCAAAATTGGTTTCCAAAAAAGTTCAAGCCTGATCTATGAATCACCAAATAATCCCTTTTTTTAGTTCAATGTTGCCCTATAATCCCAACATCTAGACTGTACTAACACGAAGTGTCAGTACAACTTACATTGAGGGAATTCCAAGGGTATCAAGAACTATCCATGGTGTTTTTTCCAAATCAGATTCACCCATGGCGGTAGTGACAGAGATATCATTTCTTCATAGAAAATGAAAGTGATTTTAA